CCCTAAAAAACATCACCATCATTGATGGAGGATTACGGATAAGAAAAAAAAAAACATCGACACCGTTAACGGACTTTTAACATCCATTCTCACCTACGGAAATCTTAACCACTCCTAGCACGATATATTGGTTCATCCTTACATGGAGGTAAAAGACAGAATCTTAGTACTTTGCGAACCCCGCCAAAAAACAGACACCGCTTAACTTAATTATAATTAGTAATTTCTAATATGGTCAGTAAATGGGCCATCGTGTAAGTTGTTGAATATTGTTTTTGCTCTTGGGAATCTGTATAATATAAGGCTAGGCCTCATCCATCTGAACGTCATTTCCCCCGAAAAAAATTATTTGAATATATTCAACATTTGATCGTATTTAATTATATATTTTCCTCGTTAATGTTTAGACTATTGTCGATAACATTTCACAATCTACAGATAAGGTTATGTTTACAATTTTTTAAGAAAAAAAAAGGAAAAACATTACGTAGCTTTATTTTTTTTTTATTTTTTTACGTTCAGAGGTCAAAAGTGAATGGTAGTGACGAGTATGTAAACTCTCGACAGATCGGAAAACCCAAATTTCGAGGAAATGTCGCTGTAGTTTTTTAGTTCATTAATGTATGATCTTGCACCGCTACCAATCAGTTTTCGATATGTAAATCATGCCGTGTATTGCTAAACCTGACATTTTCTGTCAAAAATAAGGTTTATATTGCTAGCAACTTATCACCTGAAATAAACACATGTGTTGACTTCCTTTAAAGTGGGTTGAAGTACACCCGTTGACAATTAAATGTGAAATTGAACAGCCTCAATCGTCACGCAGCGCGCGTTCGAAAGAAAAAAAGTGTATTTTACAAGTTGTGCGCACCACAAGGAGCATATATATCGAAAACGAATCGAACCGGAGCAACTACTATGGCGCTCTAAGTGGCAAATGCATCCATAGACAGTATCCAGGCGAGGTTAACAATTTTAACGGATATGAGTTTGAAATTATATATAACGGATATGAGATTTGAATTACATACACCAGTTGTCGCTGCTTGTTCGACAATATTTTGCGTTCGATACTTTAATGTCCGGTTATACTTAAAATTGTACTAATGTACTGTAACTGTAATCCTTAAGAAACAAATATTATAGTACGTAATTGAAACTGGTTTGAAACAGAAATAACCCAGGCTAAATAAAAGGATAAATATTATATAAGATGTTTCATGTATGCTGACTAATGAGGATATTTTGTTGCCATGGTGTTATCCTTATGTAGTAGATATGTGTTTTCATAATTTGCGTGTAACCGGCCATGAAGTTGTTACCATGGTGATTAGCTCAGATCAGTTTATGTACGATAAGCTAGTGAACGTGAATGGTTAGTGCGGTTACGTCGGCGCTGTGAGAAGCGATTTTCTGCAACAAAGGAACACTATCTAACTAATCCAAAATCATCTATTGCAGCCGAGATTATCCTAATTAAAAAGTCAAACACGATACCATGCAACCCCAAGCTCGGGACAAGGATACTCGTATTCTTGGTGAATTAAAGAAAATCAAATACGACACCATCCACCATCTTCAAGATAGAAATTGAATCAAGGTCACCGTTTGTACAGTAATTGTACATTGTATCTACAAGATTGTTCCTTATTGGTTCCCAAGCTTAACGCCTAACAGTCAGACCAATCAAATAGCAGCTTATTTGTTGACAATTTCTTTTAACGTGTCAATTTCTGCTTTGTTTGTATGCCTTGACTGACCTCCACTATTTCCCTACTAGGAGGATAGCACATTCGAGCAATCTGGACAATATGTGTATTATAGAAAACGTAGCTATATAATAGAGTTTGAACCAGTTAGGAGACACTTCCCCAGGTATAGATTCAATCTTCCTATGAGAAATTATGTGATCTATCAAATAAAAATGTATTGTAATGAAGAATTCAATTCGGAAATAAAAGCATTGTTTGGTGATATCGTTATCATAATGACATTTTTCGATTATTGATTATGGTTGTGTATGAATTATTCAAAACTGAGATGCAATATATATTATTTCCAGGTTTTCAAATAGTTTATACATACACACTAACACCCAAATTATTTCTTGATAAAAAAAAGTGAATTTTCATAACAAATGGATCTAAAGTATGATGCCTTACTTTGCATATCTAAACTATATAGACTACAATAAATGCAAGTTTTATATATTTGTTTTAGATCTAAAATAAAATGTTGAATTAATTGAATAATCAATCAAATTTTAACTTTGTTTGCAAAATTACATTTTATTATTATTTGTGATTCGCCTAGTTTGAATGTTGACATCTGAGTCCTGTTATTCACCACATGTGTCCTCTATATGTTCGTCGCATCTTTATTAGATAACAGCGTAACTCGCAATCACGAAAGTAAATCATGATCTGCATACATAACCCACATGGCAATTCTTCCTAACCACCAATCGTGTTACACTGTGCATGTTTCTGGAGTTCAATTAATATTTTCCGGATCTTTAGATGCACGCATTGAGGCATATTTGCAATTCACACGTTCACGCATTCATATTGCCCTTCTTATCAGTGCCATGTGTGTGGAGTACTAGAATATGCGTTATCTAATTTGCAATGTTCCATTTGAGATGATACTGGTTCAATTAATCTGAAAAAAATGGACCACATGTAATTGATAACGATAGGCACTTCAACTTTTAACTTTAGAGGGCGCAAACAGAGCTTGCCTATACATCCTCTTAGATGAAAAGTGTTTTTACTTCCTTTTTTTCTTCTTGTTTTCATAAATTTTGTAATTGGGCTAAATGATGGCCATAAGTATTTTAAAACTGGAGACATGTAATATATCACAGTAGGTTCAACATTGTATAACCGAGTATGAAATGATCCATTTAACATTGAACTTATATATACTTTTCTTCTGTCAAATTATATTACAGTTTTGGTGTAAGTGTGTATGTATATTCCATTTCAGAACAGTATGGTTCGCAATGGTGTGCCCGACTATGAATTAAAAAGATTACGTCATTATTTTGTGTGAATATACAAAGTATGGCTAGCCACAACTTTTATTTTTATCATATTTGTTACACTATATAAAATTATGATAGATCTGAAAATACTAAATGCAACTGGATTAGTAAGCGATTGCATGATATCGTAACGTTATGCGGCATATGGGCTGATTATTGACTATTATCTGATCCAGTCACACTACGTGCGTGGCGTGTTCTAAATATTTAACACACTTTAGAATCATATTTTAGATTTCAATGCTGCTGTAAAAAGCATCCTGATTTTGACAAGCCTGCTATAGTGTGAATACACGCGGAACAGGACAACATACAATATAACCATACTATTCTGAGAAGCAAGCTCTTTTTGCGCCCTCTAAAGTTAAAAGTTGAAGTGCCTATCGTTATCAATTTACATGTGATCCACATTTTCGATCCATTTTTATTTTCAGATTAATTGAACCGGTACCAACGTTGAATGTTTTTTTTTTTTTTTTTTTTTTTGCAATGGTATCGAATACACATGGAACATAATGTTTGTCCCCAGGAAATGGTCACTCCATCAAGCGTCAAAAGTCAAAGTGACGTCAAGTTTAGAACCATGTGTCTGACATAGATGACTTGGATGCAAGTGCAGGAAAATTCAAGTCCAAGTTCAAGTTTCTCCACGACTTACTTTATTTAAACGGGGAAACACGTGACTTAGCTTGACGTGTCACGTGAATCAAAATGCATGATCTAATTGGATAATGGTTGCAAGATTGTTGAAGTTCATGACGTCGCATTTATACTGACAGATAATATAATTTCGCCATATTCATTTCGAAAAGTGGTCTAATATTTGTTAACTGGAATCTACAATGATCTAGGCTTGCAATTTTAATTTAAATCATGGTAACATTGAATTCCAATCTGTTTTTAATTATTCGCGCATTCAATGACATATGTAGATCTGCTTTCATAATCATCGTCACAGTACAATCGTTAATTATAAGATAACTTTACCTCAAGTTAGCTATTTTAAAAGTATAGCCGAGTTGATTGGCTGATAATTCATTGGTTTTAAAATCGTGCATCAGAGAAAAAATACAAACCACGAAACAGTTATTTTTTTAATTAGTATGGCATACTTCTATATCATGTTTTATATCGCAACAAAAACTTCGTGCCTGTGGTGCGGTATTCCTTTTCTCAGCCCACGTTGACTATAGCATTCTTTTCTCGTCCTGACGTTCACGCAAGGCATTCCGTTTCGCTTTGACATTGGTAGCAGCTCTGTACGTAATCTGGTTACGGTCTCTAAACGTCCAAACCTCTCTCTGTCTAGGCGGAAAACAACATTTTAAATACTAACTCGCGCCCTCTGACTACTGTTCGCTTCAATGTCGTGTTGATTGGTAAATATCATCACTACTGTTTGGCATGAAGTCGCCCGTGTCATTAAATCAAACTGTTAATTGCTGTGAACGAAATTGTTTTCACCGATCTGTGTAAGCTACTTCGTGTCACACCACTGAAGCGTGTCGTCCCATAGGAGACACGGCTTGTTGGATAGTTGTATTTCGAAAAGAGGGGGCAATTCAATGAGACCGTTGGCGTTCACTTTCAGTTAGTCACGGCGAAATGCTCTCAAGGACTTGGCTGCCTGAGCGAAACACGTGAATATGCTAAAATGTCAGCATGTAAATCTTTACACTTTCAATTAGGCGTAAAAAAAACTTGTTTCGCCACTGCACGTCACCCTCTGTTTACGAAACCTACAATATTTGCGTGCCGGAAAATTGTTTCCACCCCACCCCTTCCAATTTTCCAAAGCTTAAAGGATAAGTTTCTGGTCAGCGTGCGCATAATCAAACAGTGTGGACCGGTTGTTTTTTCACCACTATACAGCGCCCTCGATTGATTAGGTTATGAAATCTGCGAAATTGGCATGCGTTATACCCAGAAATAAAAAAAATGTAAACCAACAGAACATTTTGATGTGATGTTTTATTCACAATGCAATTGTTACATTTATTTGTCAATTCGTTCCACGAATGTACCAGAATCGCAACAGAAACTTCGTGTCTGTGGCGGTATCTCGTTCTTCAGCCAACACTGGCCATAGCTTTCCGGTCGCTTATCGAACGTCCACGCGAGGCATTCTGGGTCACTTCGACATTGTTGGCAGCATTCGGCTTGGCTGCCGACGACGTTGTATCTGCCGTTGTTTATATCGCTTCCCTTTCGATCAACGTTATTTTCAATCGTATTTGTACAAGACGTTGGTCCGCGACCTATAGAAAGATTAAATAACAAATGTTGCTTGTCGCCTCTTGAGATCTTAGGGCTGTTTCTAGGGTGGACGGAAATTTCGACCACGGACAAATAAAGTACAATTTTTAGTAAAATTTACATATTTTGGTGAGTACAAGAGTGGGTACAAGAGTATAGAAGTTAAAATTAAAATTTGTATCCATCAGGAACCATCAAAAGTTGCCGTATAAATAGTCATTTAATTCATATTGGGGTGAGTGGATTAGAGGGTGTTTTTATCTTCGCTGGCAAGTTTGACCATAGACCTTAGAGTTTTCTAAGGTCTATGGTATGACGACCCACGTTGCCTTTCATAGTGACCATGATTTCTGTATATACAAATGCTCCGGCCAATGTCAAGCTAGAATCCCATACATTTAAAGTGCGGCACTTGGAAATGAATGTTGTGACATGTGGCAAATGTTCCAACCTTTGGGTAATAATATCGACTAAATTTCAAACAAACCTGTACACCTGTAGGTATGAGGCCAGTGAATTTGAATCAAGCAATATAAACGGCATATACGTATATAAATACACGCAGACAGAACAATTTTGGAACACTAAATGCGACTCATGCTTATTTGAATCCGAACACAACATGCCAATTCTATCACGACTCGCTAGATTCAAACTTCCATCCAATCAGAGAATTCCAAATAAAACTAATTCCAAACAAATGCTAGAGGGCGCTATAGCCAAACATTTGTGTCCATTTACAATACTGAATGCCCACAGCAACGTATGTAGTTGTAATCAGGGCGGCTATGCACAACACAGTCAGTGTACCGCATATTCAAAGAACAACTCGTTTTCGTAATATTAGATCATTTGATAGGAATGTTCATAGGGAGTTTGCTAACTCTCCGTACGAATTTTGCGGTTTGCGCCCGCTGTAACATTATATACGCATATGAAAAGTCTCCGTATTATACTTACCCTCATATCGACAAAGAACGTAAAAAACTTTATCACTGCATGTCTCGTCAGTCCACTTGTAGGAGTGTTCCCTGGAAAAGTATTTTGCAAATCAAAATTAGATGAGCTGATACTTGATTATGATGATTTTTTAACATTAAAATGTTTAACATTCAGTCATCTTGCATCAGATCGTCAAACGAGTACTTGTCCATATCGAGATATATATTGCTCTGGGATAGCATTATTTAAAACGATATGGCCACCGGTCGGTCTTTTTGAATCACATGAATCGCAATGTCGCTGTAAAACGTGATTGCACTCAGCCAAGGAATGTGAGGGACATAGGGAAAGCGAGGACAGCATTAATTGTGAAATAAAATGGAAGGAATGCTTGATTTTCGGATGATTTTTCTAAAAATTAAGAAAGCAGCAATCTGGCCGTCTTGAACTTGATCGTCAAACTAAAACACATGTATATCTATGACATGAAGCATAATGAATACATAAAACGGCGACTAAAAAGACTGCCAAGAGTGGAGAGGCAGATAAAAAAAACATTTCACGGCAACTGCGCAATGTAAACGAATTAGAGAATGTGAATTTCATAAAAAAAATTGTCATCAGACATATTTGAATAACATAAAATAAGAAAATATAAATGATAATTAATCTAGCTCCATAAGTTTCCTCCCTTCAGATTTGAAATGAATGGCCCCTTGTTTCACAGAGGTTTGACCTTCAAATGAAACAAACTCCGTCTTTGAATTACAAGGCTGCAATCGTTGTCGACACAATTGAACACCATTTTCAACCATCCAAATTTAAATTCAGGCCTTACGCTAGAATTGACGACATAATTAAATCGACAGCATTCTGGTATTGTTTCAGGTTTACCCAATTTCATAAATGTGACTATTTTGACATCTGACAGAATACATTTTATTGAAGCAGCACAAACGACGGTGAATGTGTTTTTGTTTGTGTGACTTCAGTAGACACACTCACTGGGGGTGTTGATTAATAAATGTAACATTTAGAAATTTGAACTCAATCCGTCTGGGCAATTTTGAGCCCGGCTCAAACCCGAATTTAGTGTTTCTTTGTCTAGTTTACAAATAAAATAAATAAATAAAAACAAAAATTAAAAAAAAAAGTCAGGAAAAGATTTTATTTCAAAGGGATGAAGTTCGGGAAAACAATGCCAATGTACGATAGTTTTTTTTTTTTTTTTTTTTTTTGTATCACTTTTCATTCTTCAAATGTTCAACTTTTCATTAATATTATGTAGTCCATCGTGATTCTCCAGCAAAAGATTATGGGTAAAGTATGACAACATAGCCACTGTTCTAAATTGTTGTGAAATGAGTCAGACTCGAAAACGTTTACATTTAGCATTTAATGCCCTGCAATGGAACATTCTGATTGGTGGGGAAAGAACTAGGTAATGATTACGTCAAATATGTCAACCAAATTAAATATGCTAAGAATGATTTCAAAAATTACATTGACATCACAAGGCAGTCACCAGTACCGTCTGGCGAATAAGGCGCCCATGCTGTGTACGACATCGGGGTACCGTCTCTATAAGTCCAGACACCTTCTGTACCTTTGTCTCTCCCGTCAATCCAATATCCTGTTAGACAATATTATACCGGATTATTCAACTGACAACGAGAAGCGATATTGTGGAAAACTACTGCACAATATTCCCTGACGTCTGCATCCAAAGAGTAGACATTTTCGTGAGTCTAGAAATAACAATACAAACAACTCACCGAGTGGTTCTGAATTCATGGTTGCAATAAAATCCACAACGGTGTCCTGCATGTGCTGCGACGTAATTCTGGCAATTCTCCCGTCGTCATTACGACAGTATTGGCTGGCTTCCCTCCACGTCTTGGGTTCGTTAATGAACTTAAACGTACCCTCAAATGGGATGTCTGAAAAATATAACAATAGGAAAATATATAGACAAACAATCAATTTACATTCAAAGTCATTTACAAGTTAAATATAAATAAGATTTTGAATAATTTTTTAGACGACTACATCACTTTCGAGTTGATAAATATGCAAATATGACAATTTTTTAGTTGTTATTCACGATAGTGTAACTGGTTTAGAGTCGACAACATTGGTATTGCTGTTTAAAAGAAAGAAAAGAAAACAGACATGGCTGTAATTAGCAGTTAGTATAATAACCCCTAATCTAGGGGGCTTTGGTAGGGATATCTGTTCAAATGGACACGCTTGAAGACATGTACGATTATATTACACTGAATACAGTGTTCAGCTTCGCGACATTTACAAACTACTGATCATAATGTTCGCTCTTATACTTAAAACAGCACGGCTACTAGTGCAAATAAATTTTTTTGACATCGTGCATCGTAAATAAATAAATAAAACAAAATATGAAATAGACATTTGGCAAGGATATAAATTACTGTCTTAGTGTGCCTTCAAAAAGCAACCTTCCTGTCCATAGTCATCGCTATACTAGAAATGTTAACGAAATGTGTAAAAGAATATTTACGGCAAGAAAAGGTCACAATAACATTCAACAAATACACACACGGACCTATTATGTATATATCTTCGTCAGAATCGCTGGATGATGAGTCGTCATAGTACCACGACGGTGGGGCGCCAGATTCATAATAGTACCCACGGGCATTATAGGCCGCCAACACCAGCACATACAGTCGTAAAAGACACATGTCGAACTCGTATAAACAAAATCCCACGATATAATGTTTTGGGATAATCGCGTGCACAACATTTATAATGACTGACTAATTACTTCGGTGATCATTTCCGAGAATCCATCCGACGGAAATTGAGGTATTGTACACAGACGTTAATTGTTATTGCACCGATTACGAATCACCTTTCACAATTACAGCATCTCGACAAATTGCAAATTTCTCACGTAGAGGTAGTTGAAAAAAAAAACATACTATTTTACAGCTGTTAAGGGACTGGACGTTAATTATCAGGGGGTGGGGGAGATTTGAGGGAAGGCCAATCTTTTTCAGGCGAATGTTTGGAGGTGGGTCACATTTTTAAAGACATTCGTGTATTTCTGGTCCACCCACTGTAATTACAGGTATTAACAATATAATGGTTCACTTGTATCAGCACCCAACAGAAAGTCAAAGAACACCTGTATCGTTCTAAATCTATGTTAGTATCAGTAGTATTATGGGCGAACCACATTTTCAAGTTAAAGCAGGAGAGTCGTCACCTGCGCACGCGCGGGAATTGAGTCCCAAGCGACGATAACAACACAGAAAAATGTTTTGTTTCACCAGTACACACACGAACCTAATATGTATATTCCATCGCTGAGGACAGAGTCGTTACTCGCTGCATCACTCGAGGCGTCACTGGAAGAATCAAGATCCTCGTAATCCCATGACGGCGGACCACCACTAGAGGACGATTGCATACCACAGACGATGTAGAACGCCAACATCAGCACACATAGTCTTAAAAGATGCATGTTGACGTTGTATTGACAACTTCCCGTAAAATAGTGTTTTGCAATTATCGCGTGCACAACTTTTATAAAGAAATACTAATTACTTCCTTCGTTAATTATCGACGAAAATACATCCGACAAAAATTAAGCTATCTGTATTCTACCTGATGAAGGTAAATGCTATTACACTGACCTTCCCGAGTTCGGATTATTAAATACTATAAAACAATATCCCGACAAATTGAAAAAAAATAATTCAAGTTGTGTTTCCGGCCTTACCTATATTTTTTATGAAACTAAACTTTTTATATCATGCGATTCAGCAAATTTGTATGCAAAATAGCCGAAATTCTATCCACAAAAATGATTCGGTTTATTGACTTTTTGTTTAGTATAGTGGATGATCAGAATATAACTAAGATAATCCATTATAATGTCTAACAATTGGAACATATACGACTTGGATAGACTTAAAGAGTAATTACGCTTGACCCGAATTCGACGGAAATTGGAATGTTATTGGATTTTTTTGAGTAATGGCGTAATTCCGGATAAGATATCTTTTTAATTCGAAAATTAACATGATTTAGTTTTTCTGGAATATGACCAATGTTAATTTTTTTTTTTTTTTTCAACAGTACTATGCAACATTTAGTGGTTAACAATTGTTATCATGATAGCGTTAAGACCATGGCGGGTACGTCGCTCGGGTATGTCCTGAACGACGGATAATCCAACCTGGCGGTGAACTTGAACATCAAATATGGATCTACTTTTTATACTGGGTGTATGTGGGGCGGACTACAATGTGGAGACGCTAACAGCCTCAACATTCACCCATTGACGGATACAACTTTAGTCGCACGATTGTATTCCACCGGGCCTGATTAACACAGGGAAAGCACAACCACAATCCTTCCGTGGCTCGACATTGCCACAATATTACGGAATGTGCAGCTGTCATATCGCCATCAGGAGCCCGGACATCCCCATATATAATGGTGTTGTTTGAGCGCAAATACGCGCTGACGATACAAATTTAAGTATCGTATTACCAAGCAACATATACGGACAGGGACATTGTTATTCTTACACATACTGTATACCGATACACGGAATCTCGAACTACTTTTATCATCAGCTTTCCATACCACGACGTTAACATCGTAAATACATTTGTAATATGCACCGCGAATGTGACAATTGTACTAAATGGATTCAATGCTACAATTTCCGTCACGGTGGTAATATGCAGTGCGGTAGAAAGCCTATGGCCTGGTATGTGTGATGAAACTCCACGATTTGCAGCAGCCATGGTACAAATTAGTTTAATCATTCTCATTTGGTGGTGAAGGCACATAATCCATGTACTTGTGACAACAGGGACATGCATTAGCCGAATCTCTGACGTTACAAAAAATCACATACAAAGATTACAAGTATTGATAAACTTCATCACATTTCGTCTTAAACATGCAATATGCACGAGCACATATATGCTTTATACCAAATTCTGAGATGTTCATTTCTGTAGCACACAAAAAAATAGTATTTGTCCAATGAAAAATGCCCCTAAAACATTCAGCGCACCGGACAATTTCATTGTTTCATCAAACGTACGTTTTTAGTTCAACATTTAGTATCAAACGAAAATAATGTCAAATGATATGTTCTCAGACATACCGCATCTTTAATTGTGTACTCTTGCATCTCCTACTTAATCGGCTGCCATAGTTGTAAACCAAAACAAGATATTTAAGAATAAATGCCAAGACTATTGTGATTACCTGATTATAAATATTGCATAACACTTCATAAATTGTTTTGATTTTTCGAACAAGAATGCAAAATTACCATATAATACACGGTCTGGCAAGGAACATGACAGAAAAATGTTTTGTTTCACCAGTACACACACGAACCTAATAAGTCGACGCCCGAAGCGTTTCTGGAATTAGAAGACTCGTCTTCACTCGAGGCGTCACTGGAACTTGAAGAATCTTCGTCATCGTAATCCCAAGACGGTGGATCACCTTCATCGTAATCGAATGGCGACGAACCACCACCATAGTATGATCCCATACCACAAACGACGTAGGACGCCAACACCAGCACACATAGTCTTAAGAGATGCATGTCGACGCTGTATCGACAACTTCCCGATAAATAGTGTTTTGCAATTATCGCGCGCACAACTTTTATGAGAAATACTAATTACTTCCTTCGTTAATTATCGACGAGAATGCATCCGACAGAAATTAAGCTATCCGTATTCTACATTATGAAGGTAAATGTTATTACACCGACCATCCCGAATTCGGATTACTAAATACTCCGAAACAATATCCTGACAAATTGAAAAGATCTAGACAAAAAAAAATTGTATTTCCGGTAACCGAATCTATCCATATTTTTGGTGAAACTAAACTTTTTATTTAATGCGAATCGGCCAATTTGTATGCAAAGTTCTACCCAAAAATGACTTGGTTTATTGGCTATTATTTAATATAAAGGATGACCAGAACAGAATATGACTGTAAGGGAATCTACGATAATGTCTGCAATTAGGGGGGGGGTCAGCTTACGTCTGTATTGTATGCACGACTTGGATAGAAATAACCTGATGAAATGTAGTCCTGTGGTGGTGGGGGGGGGGGATGTAATCTAATCTAAAATAAACATATCTGCTTATCCAATATTTTGTTAGCCCGTTACTGCAAACATGTATTTTTTCTTTGGCCTAATTACCTACGTTTAGGGGATTTGCAACAAAACACTAATTTGAAAATTATTTAAATAAATGTATTTTATTTCACTCTTCTTCTGTAAGGCCTCCAGCAACCATAGTAGCGTTTTGATAAACATTAGTACATAAGTATTGCCGCATGTCCCTTTACACATTTTCAAGGGCGGCAGTCGTACATACCGTAATTTTTGAAATCAAGATAAAATCTTGACACAAATTTTTAAACCTGCTCAAAAATTATTGTAGGTAATAACGGTTTAAAACCTGATTCGCCCCAATGAAGACGACCCCTTAGGCTACTGATTTTCAATCATTTACGCTTTTAATTTGCATTAATCATTAGGATTATGATTCACAAGATATGTAAATTTGATGTTTGAGACATCATGTAGAGATGGCATACACGAATTTAAATTACCAGACAAGTTTCCATTTCAATTTTTATCTACAATTTTTGCATATACAGTACATTCCTCCATTTTTTTCTGTCAAAATTGCAATGGTTTTGGTTTTATTATTTTTAATTTCAAAGCCCTATGCATGAAGGTGTACCATCAAAATCCAATGAGTGGTTCTTTAGACATCATAAAAAATAGTTAATTGTTGTGCAAATTAGGTTATTAATATGCATGGTTTAACCCAACAATTCTGTGCATTAACCCAGAGCATCTATGCTTCATGTTTCATCAAAAACCAGCATATGGTTCGCAAGACATCAGTGGAACAGACGGACACACATACAGACACACTAACTGCAAACACTTCCATTGTGTGCTTCACACAGGAGAGCCAAAAATAAAATCTGTAACTGCCTACCCACTATTTTGATATTACTGGGAGGAGAGAATTGTTATTGCTTGGTACAAGGGGTTGCCCATTAGAAACTAGATGTAGAGACGGTAGAGAACCACTATGCAACCTTTTACTTCACCTAGTTTTGAGTTTTGTAACTTTAGTCAACTGTACTATCACATTGAAGTCGGGATGCTATCATCTGCTTTGCGAGTACTACATCATGCTGATCCCCTAGCTACCTAATGGTTTAGGCCACTCCATATTAGATGTGATCATTGTGTTGTGACAGCCAATTTCATAGACCATCCGGAACAGAAAGTCAGAAGAATACAAAGGATTGTTTCGTCAACATGGGGGAATGTT